TACCCTAGTATTAAGCTGGTTGTGAGACATTTGTGGGTGATTTAATCATGTGTGTAGTTCCTCTAGTTGATGCATTGGATGCATAAGTATGAGTTAAACGCTTATGCCATGTTTTCCTTTGATGTTGATGCATTGGATGCATAACTATCTAGAATAGGATAAGAGGAGGCATAGTGCCCATTAGTACAAAATAATTAAGAATAGGGAGGGTGACCACCATCCCTTCCTCTGCAACCATTTGTAGAGCCAAGGGCACCACCACCACACGAATGGCTCTATTGGTGTCCTCTATTGTTTATAAACTTGTTCTATTAGGAGATAAAAAAAACAATGAGGAAAGTAGATGAATCGTGTAATGATTGAAGAAATAACTAGTCGCCTTCAGCATGAGCTAGAAGATCACAAAAACTTGGTGAGGGTTTGGAGTTCTGAATAGTTGTGGAAAATGTTTCAAAAGAGCCCCAAAACCATAAAGAAACCAATGTATTTTATCAATTTCATCTGCAGGTTGTCTAATAACAGCAAGTTTGTCACATGCATTCTTAAATCTGGAACCATAATTAGATGTAGATTATATAAAGAATCATGAAGAAAATGGATTATTTCAATAGAATAGTTAATGTAGGCCTATTCAAATTTAGACTAGATAGAACGAGTAGTAGAAAGACCAAGAACTTCAGCAGTAGTCTCCTTAGTAAGAGAGGAGTTAAGGAGAATGGAAACCCTTTGATTAGAATCGCGCCAAGAAGAATACGCGGGCTTTGGAGCATCTTTTTTGTCGACTTCAATTTTTTCTGGTGGTGCAATAAAGGAGCCATTATTATAAGATATTAGCTTCTGATAAGAGAAGAGAGGAACCATTTGATTCTGCTACAATAGATAATTTGTAGAACTAATACCATGTAATGTAAAATCAAATCAACCACACATATAATTATTTGTGAGATATGTATATTTATATTTACAAATTACAAGATATGACCCTATAAAGAAGGGAGAGATAAATAAAAAGTGAATACAAATACATGTTGATTTATAAATCGTAGTTTTCTAATAACTAATCTTGAATACTAAAGAAAAATCATGAAAAAACAAGGAAACATAAAGTGTAATATGTTTTTCGGTTGGGTTTCTTATATATATTTTAAAAAACATGACACTATATTGATAGGCATAATTTGTACTTTTTAGTGTTGCTTTTCTTGAATTTTTTCCTATAATGTAATGGTGAAACATTGTCTTGTAGTGACCATTTTTACATGATAGTGAAATTCAGGTATACCTCATAATGTCTAATGGTTTTGTAGTTTTGTCTTGATGATTTTCTATCCTTATAATGAAATGGAAAATAAGAAAACCATGCAACATCCGATTATAAGAAAAATATTGGTATATTTAAAACCATTACAAACAAAATATTTTTATATTGTTTTAACCATTACAACCAAAAGACTATAAAAATAAAGAAAAAGTCATAATGCACTACAAGAAAAAGACCCTTTTACGACGCGCAAACCACGACACTCATTGATTTATGTTACGCAAAAGAGCGTGATATTAAAAAAGTGTAATCTCTTCAAAAAATTTAAGGATTTATGTCACGCATTATTGTGTGCCGTTAAACTAGTGTCTCTAGAAAATAAATTAAAAACACGGAGGGCACTTTATTTTAAACGTGCGTCCGCTGTACATGTCTCTTTATAATTTTAATGAAATGCGCGTTTAGTAGAGGGGGAAACGAAATCCACAAAATTTTGAAAACCCGTCTTCTACCTTCTTTCTATCTTTCATCTTCGCAGTCCACTCTTCCCTCTCCCTCCTTCTCTCTTCTCTCCGATCTGCTTCTCCGTTACTCCTTAATACCTTGCAGGAATCTAAAAACTAGAAAACCCCATCCTCACAAAGTCTAGGAAACCATGGTTTTTTTAATCCCTCAAAGAACAACCCATATCCTCCATAGATCGATCTCTATCGCTTCATTTCTCATAAGATATCAAACACTTTACATTCATAAGGCCACAAAATCGAATATTGCTTGAACTAGGGTTTCGAGTTCGTATCACATAACCCTCCCTAAATCTGTTCTCCATGTTGAATCGATTCCCTTGTTTTGATCGACTCCTGCTCACGCCGATCATCGATTTTCAATCGTCGACCATCGCTGCATAATACCTCGTTCCCAATATTTGAATGTGTGGTACCTCAATGTCATTTCCCAGGCTGAGCTCGCTGATTACGACCCTGTTCGTGGTACCATGGTTATTCGAGCATACGGTTATGCCATTTGGGAAGCTATTCAGGTAGGTCTTTTTTTGTTTTGAGACAAACTTGTTAAGCTCTAGCCGTTCGCTTTAGATTTTTTTTACCTTCTTCCGAATTTAACCTAGATTTTCTCAAAGCCATCTGCGAATCTCCTTTTGGGCTTTCTTCATTAGCATGTTTCGAGTTTCAACTACAGTCGACTCTCTGGTTCTATTCCAAATTTTATATGCCACATTCTCAAAACCATTTGTTCTTATCCCACTCCCAGATTTATTATTTCTAAGGACATTTGATATGGGGTGTTAAAAGAAGAAGGTTGTTGCTGCTTGATGTCACTATCATCTGCTTTTCTATTTTTTTAGTGGTTACCCATGGACAAATCTTCACGCTCTCTTTTCAATCTCTCATTCACGCTCTCTTTATATGCCACATCTGTGTTTGTGTTGTTTGATGAATGATATTGCTTCATTGAATCCCGATGCTGTTGGTGTTGCTGTGCAACCGATTTCTTAAAAGTAACAGGTGGTGCACTATCTGTAGCCAAAAAAGGCTCCTGACAATTGGGACATAGGAGTGTTTTATTTAGGTATATTTTTAGGTACTCATATTGCATCCTGCATCCATGGAAAATAGTCCAAAAATTAGTTGTGGAGCTGTGGGACTTTTGTAATTGCATTTTCTTCCATTCATGGTCACAGACCTAGGTCAGGACTGGGTGTTGTAGTAGATTAGCAGCAGCAATCCGACTTTATGGTATCAACTACTCCTACTTTTCAATTTCCCCTTTTTTAGTCACTTTGATGATTTTATTTTAGGCTTTATTTGTTTATAATATAAACAACATACGATTTATGTTTTATTTATGGGTGCAGTTTGCTTCCGGTGAAACCATGAGGAAATGCTTCAGCTTTGTATGTTTTCTTGGAACCTAACATTTATCATTTCCCTTATTTACAGCAAAACAAGATTAATAAGTTGTTCTTGGGTACTACTTTATGATATTCACTTATCAGGTTGAAGAGAAGGGGTATGGAGTTCAAAACCAATTGAACTACTCACATCATGGATCTTAATATGTGGTCATCTGCAGGTCAACCTCCTCATGCCTTGGTTACTTTTGGTTTTGGTGGGAAGCTGATTATGATGAAGCATACAAATGGTTCCACATACCCATTGAAAATTAGGAGTGATAGTGAGTTCCACCCTCAAGATGGTGTCATTAAAATGTCCAAGACTGGATCCGGCACCCGCACCAATAAAAACAAGAAACAAAGAGTTCCTTTAAGCATCTCCTCTTTCAGATTTCTCCTGAATTTACTGTTTTGTGATTCTAATCTGATTTGATGCAGAATAAGAATCATAATTTTACAAACAATGATGTTGAAGATAAATCTATGAAGTTACACTACTATATGGACACAAGATCCTCCCTTAGACACGTGTTTGTCATGTCATAAAACACATAACATATTAACATAGCATGTTTTGTTAGTCATGAAAGACATGATTTTGTCAATGATGATTGACCCTTTTTGTTTATAATTATAAATTATCAGGGTGTTCTTTCTCAGAGGAGATCTAGCTTTCGGGGTAACAAATTCCCTCTAGCAGTTGAAGCTGTTAGAAAAGCTCCTATTCGTAGTAGAAACTTCATGCGGAATCAACCAATGACTTCATATAGACCAAGGCAAGTTGTTTGTATTTCTTTAATAAAAAGTTGTATTTCATCTCTTATTGTTGCAATAATCTGATTATAAATGTTGTTATTTTGGTTTGATGTGCAGGTGCGCTGGTGTACAAAATAGGGGTGCTACAAATGGAGGCTTTGCTATTAAGATATAGCTAAATATTAAAAAAAAAAGTTGGTAATACTATTAGCCAAGGTATTAAGAGAGTAGTTTTTTTGTTTGTGATATTTATTTATATGCAGCAACAATTGAACTACTCACATCCTGTCTTCCCATTGAAAATCAGGAGTGATAGTGAGTTCCACCCTCTAGATGGTGCGGGGGATTGGTTGAACATGTCCTGCAAGACTAAGCTTTGGGAATTGCTGAATGCACTTGTGAAGATTTCACCCGAATTTGGGGGCTCGAACAAGCTCTCCCAGCTCCTGTGATGACAGATCATAATATCTTTCCCATGCCAGAGCCTTCTTCTCCAGTTTCATCAGAATGTCATTTTTAATCCCGTAAAATTGGCGTAGTGGGGTTTGGACACTCCAAATCCTGTTGTTTATCTTTTTTCACAAGTTTAAGGCTTTCTCGGCTAACTGGGCCCATCCTCTTTTCAAATATAAGCACGTGATGCTTTCCAGCCACTCCAATCACCTTTTCATAACAAATATCATTCATCAACTAAAATCTCTGCAATGGCTTCTTTACTATAATTCCAATATACTGTTGAGCAAGTGGGCAACGTCTGTAACTATTGTCAAAATGAAACAGGCCTTTCTCTAAGTCAAGTCGCATAAATAACGCAATATCATCATAATTGGGAAGCATTGCAGATAGCCCAACCAACCGAATATGTTCCTTTGTGGTCTCAATTTGTCTAACAGTTCTTGCCACAATACTCTTGAGCATAGGTCCTCTGTTATCTTGCAGAAGATGAATTTCATCAATAATTATACCTTTCTTTCTAAAAAATATATATATATATTGAGAAAGAAAGCTATTTTGAGGGGATTTAGGGTTTGGATTTTGTTGATTTTTTCCGTTGAATCAGATATGGAGAGAATGCGGAAGAAGCTGCAACATCGGCTGATTGGAAATGCCCCAGATGTAGAGGAATCTGTAATTGCAGCTTTTGCATGTAAGTGCTGTTGTCGATCTGATATATTGGTACATATCTTAGTTTTCAAGATCTAATTCCCCTAAAAAAAGCTTCAAATTTGACTTTACCAGATTTGGTACTTTTCAAATTATAAATTGAATAACCTATGAACTTTCCATTACCTTTTCCAAATAAACAATTACCACGGATAACATATTGTTTGTATTATTTTGGCAACAACATTCATTCCAATTTTCCAATCAACAAGTACCCTTTTAACCTTACACGTCAAAGATAAAACTTTCATCTTTTTATTAATTTTAGTTTGCCTAAAGTCCAAATAACAAACAAGGGTATTTTTGTAATTTAACAGGAAAACGACACCCCGGATGTAGCGGTTACTAGACTATTTGCATCTGCAAAGAAAGACACTTCTCAATATGGCGATTATGGAGCTTTCGCTAACTGATTGCAATAGTTGCCACCAGAAGGACAAATTCGGGTATTCACCTTATTTCATTTATTCACATAATATTAAAAAACATCTTTTTTTTATTGATTTCTTTTTATTTTCTTAGAAAACTACTGCCAAAGTCCAAACTTTGCTAGTTTATAGATTATAGAATCCTGATACATTAGTAATAATCATTTTTTTAATGTTTTTAGCTATTAAAGACTACTATAGAAGAAGAGCACCTTGTTGTGTTTACACGCAATACCCTGTTGTGTTTACAGGCAACACAGAGGTTGGTGAAGTCTTTTTAATTTGACATGAAACCCGGAACCCTGAGGTATGTTTATTCAGCTACTCATCAAAATGGTTCATGTAGACCACATGATGATATATTATCAATAAATCAAGATAATAATAATAATATGAAAACTTCAGTTACTCCACTAGGCAGCCTTTCATCACCTTCACCTATGATGAATTTATTAGACATATTCACCTAGTATGTTTATTTATTTATTATTTTATAATAAATTTTGGTAAAAAAGTTATTTTTTAAATTCTTCAGTTGCATTTGGAACCTGCTAGCAGTAACTCTCTTCCTGCAAATGGTAACGGCTCAATAACACAAAAATTACGAGTTACCAACACTCAAAATGGCAAGGTAACTATAAATAAATCATCATGGAATGAAATGTTTGTGTGTTTTTTTTTTAAAAAAAATATCATTTACACGATGAATGTTGATTGTTATGGCAGAAAGCAATCATTATGCGCATACAAATAAGTTACAAGTTGAACAACAAAGACATGTTGGAAGAAAGACATCCCTCGTGAGATATGATAACATTTTTCGCTCTCTTCTATCACCATATCTTAGTGTTTATATTTGGGACAATGTTATTAAATATTATTTGTATCTTTGTATTCCCATGTTCTTAGGTCCAAATCATGGATATTTGAATTTGTTGATTTTGGAGGTGAAATGAGACATGATATATGGTGCTAATAACGGTCAGACAAGGGCAACAATTTATTCCATTAATGACATTAATCACTTGCATTTGTGATTGTATTCATTACATATGGATTCAATACTTAGCTAAGTTGACCTCACATTTTATTCTTCTAGGTTCACTCAATCAGTTCTTGTTTTTGTTGTAAATTGTAAATTGTAATTCAGGGTATTCTTGGTCCATGTGCATCACTTGAGAAGGTTCATATAGTATTTTTAAGAATGTTGACTCTTTGTTGACTGATTGTTGTTTTTTGTGCAGAAAGGTGCTTTATGTTCTGATACTAGCATTGGTCAAGGGGGTACTACTACATGGAAGGTGCTTCAATACACACCTACTTACAGCAATGTACACAAATTAACTAAGGAAATAGCAATGTAGTACTAGGTTATATAGTTAGGGAAAACCTATTAATAATAATGTACAAATATTTGTCTACTATTTGAATGATTATTTGTATGAAAATAAATTTTATGCAATGGATTGTATTTTTTGTATATGATATTATATTTTCTGTTATGAGACATTACATGCAAATTTAATTTGAAAATTAGTAAATCTGTAAATAATACTTTTTTTAACATTTAAAGTTACGATACGCAAAAATGTGTGTCATCTTCATTTATGACATGACCTTTCTTGACAGGGGCTTCCTTGATACGCATTGTGTGTCATAAAAACGCACGTCGTAAGGTTACAACACGCAAATGCGTGTCATCTTCCTTTATGACAAGGCCTTCCTTGATACGCATTGCGTGTCATAACCGCACGTCGTAAATGCGCGTCATAAATGAGCGTCGTAAATGCGCGTCATCTCTCTTTATTACAGGGCCTTCCTTGACACGCATTTGCGCGTCGTCTGAGCGTTACGACGCGCAATGAGCGTCGTAAAAGGCTGTTTTTCTAGTAGTGATGGCGAATCGCAAAACACATTAAATAATAACATTTAAGAAACATACTATTGCCAATCAATATATGATGGCCAACTAAACGTATAAGGAAATGAAATAGTAAATAATAAAAAAATGAACTAAAGTGCAAATTATTTTCCTTTACTTTTAGGATATGACCTTTTCCCGTAGAAAGTTCATGTATAATAGCCCAAGGGTGTATATATATTTGTGTATCTCATTGTGGAAAACCCTCACATGAAGGTGAGGATTACCTTTTGTAATATATGTCTTTCATAACCAGGTGTCACTTTAGAAGTTATAGAATTATGCTAGGCAAGAAGGAGAAATAGAGCATGGAGTTACTTTAATTTGAGAAATTCTATTTAGCAAAAACATAATTAAGTAAAAGAGGTTGGTAGTTCCTATATAATTAGTATTGAATTCTTGTCTTCTACTATTAGTGGGACGACGTAAGGTTGTGAATTGTATTGTATGGGGTTAGATATTTGAGTTTTGGACAAACTGGTTGGTGCTGAGGGAGGCCTTGTTTGACAGTGAGACAAACTTATTCTTGTTATCTAAGTGACAAACATGGGAGTCAACTTTTTGTCAAACCAAGTGGTTGTGATGTGTTGATTTTCTTTCTTGATCAGTGGTTGTGACTTTTGACCTTTTGAAAGTTTTTGTTCAGGTTTGGCGTGTGCGCCTGGTTTTGGAAGTTCTTGGGTTTTTTAGTCACTAATAAGGGAATCTAGGGTGGTGATAACTCGCATAAGAAATAGTTAATTTAGAAGATCCCTTGAGGAGATTTAGGAGGAGCTGGTTTCAAAATGATTGATTAGGGTATATTTCGTGGGAGAAATCCAATTTACATGGGTGAGAGTTGTAATACTCGTTTTCCAAGATAGATCAATTTAGGGTTTCATGGAATATAATGGTTGATTTTTGAGGAAAAAACGTGTGTCACGATAGAGGATGGTCAGGACATTACAAGTAAAATACGAGAAAGCTTGTTTTAGACTATTTTCACGACGTGGTCATGGAAAAGTGCTAGGGTATGCTGGTGTGAGCACTTGTATGAGTGGAATTCTAAGCTGGAATTTTAAGAAGTTGGTGGCGCCTTTTCTAAGCTCATGGGTGTGCCGATACCCCTGTCAGTGGTGGAGTTCTTGGAAAAGAATTTTAGTGTTGGTTGATGCATGAGAAAAATCCCAGAGTGAAAGATTCTAGGATGGGTTGTAGTGTGTACCTATGGTGGCATAGGTAAACGATATTGATAGTGGTATGGTATAGTGACCTAGAGACTTGGAGGCAATTTAAGGGACACGTATAGATAGGTTTGGAAGGTATTAGGGTCCCATAATACTCAAAGCACATGATTCATACAGGGATCACGAAGGGTCAACAAGGTTTCTACTAAGATAGTGGTAGTTAGGTAGTATGGTATAGTACTAACATTAATTTTAGTCGTCGTCATCGATGCCAGCCTGTCAGATATGATTGTGCAAAATGGGGCCGGTAATCAATTAGGCTTGAGTGTATGTGGTACTTAGGGTCTAGTTAGTACTGATGTGAGAGGTTTAGCGATTTCAGAGACATCAAGGACCTTGCTCAAAGTAGTGCCAGCTTATGTTGTAGAACTCAAGAAGGAAGCCGTTATGATGATCAACAGGAGGATTGCAGCATGAAGGTGAGTGGTCAACCGATGGAAAGGGAAGTTACTTTCTTGATTGGGGTAGTCTTTTCCTACGTCATGTGCTTAAGGGATGAGAGATCGGTTATGGGTCAGTCGATGGTTGAGGTAGAAGATGGTGATCTCCTTATCGATTCTGCTGAAGGAAGTAGAATTCTGATTTTGCAGTAAATCATCTCTGGGTCGCAACGAAGTGATATTTGCGACTAAGTGGTTCTTGTGGTTCGATATCAAAGGTAAAGGCCATGTTGCCAGTGGAATTCGTAATGTAGATTCTGAGAGATCAGGTGTATCCTGGGAGACATCAAGTTGATTATGTTATTGGCATTAGAGTTATATGGAGGCATTGAGTTTGTTAGAGTTTTTTTTAGCAACTAAAGGGGGATTCTTGAAGTTTCAAGTGGAGGATGAGGTTGTGTAGTGTAAAACTTCATGTACGCCAGTTCATTTTGGAATGTGCTAAGTCTATCCAATGGTGTTATGTCCAATTCACTAAGTTTAATGGGCGATGTCGTGAGAAAGATCTGCGAAGTCTCCATCTGAGATTCAGATATTTCTTGTTCTTAAGATCATCTTGCATTGTGATATGCATCTTGAGAGCCTAGTTGGGTATGTTCATGGTTAAGTGGGTATGAGGCTTTTGTGTTGCAGAAGTCATTCATTGATGGTTTGAACGCTAAATCGGGGAGAATTGAGTATTCTTCTTGGAGGATGATGGCTGTTTGATTTTTATGGTTTCATCATGATGGGTTAGAGCAACTTATAGTTCAAAGATGTAGGATTTTAGTTCAAGTTTTATGTATAAATGAAGGATGGAAGTAGGCTATCGTTGAAGTGTTTGTGATTTTGAAGATTCATGTACCGTAACTTAGGGATTAGCCGGAGTCATCCTTGCATGTGGATAATTCAAGGTTTTGTTAGATCGTGAGTGTAGAGTAAGTTGTCGTTAAGTTTGTGCGCTATCCTCACGATAAAATTTGATGGGTAAGGAACTTGTTGTAGCCAATGGCTCCATTTGGGGTAGCTCCACATATATGGATGGAGGGGTTTTGAACCACTCTTTTGTGCATCTGATTTAGAATCATGGTTGAGTCGCCTTGTAGGTCAGTTAGATATGGACAAGAATGGGCATTCATTGATGTGGCAGTCAATTTCAGAGTTAGAGAAGAGTATTTTAAGGGGGATTGTATCCAGTATATATGGATTCATCCAGTTTAGATCCCGAACCATTAGCTATCATTGGCTATTTTGTTATCAGTAATAATTGAGTTTATTTGAAGTATTCAAGTTGTATCATTTAAGGGGCAATTGATGAGTCAACCCTTAGTCAAACTCGGTAAAGCTAGTACCTTGGTCCTTATGAATATTTCTTCTTGATTCATTATCTGTGATCTTTTCTTTTTCTTCTTGAGGGTAAGTTGGTAGATGGCCTTAGTCACACCAAGTACACTCCTAGAAATCATGTCGGTTGGATTGTTAGTCAGATTGTTGCTACCAAATTTTTTTCCTGTGTTCTAGATAGTTGAGGAGTTCTCCTCTGATATTTCAAGTTTTATTTTCTATTTGTGCATTGGTGGGATCTGCGTAGTTTCATCAGGGTGTGGGATTGGGTTGTGATTGCTAGACAAATGTGTATGATAACAGTAAAAGTTTATTGTTTTTTTCGATTTTAGGTACATCACCTTCTGGGTAAGGTCATGATTAAGAAGAAACATTGTTGGCTTGAAAAGCATTGTATTCCCTCCTGGGGAGTACGTCATGTCAGGTTTATATGTTGATATAGGAGCTAGGAGGTCTATTTCTTCCTGGATTGTGTGAGGCAATGTTTCATCTGACCTTGTATCAGTGGCAGTTGGACTGTGGATAAGTGTGTGTATTAGGATGGTATGGCTCCTGTAGTCGGGTGAGTGTTGAGTGAGATGTTGATTGGGTTCCTACAATGGAATGATGGCAATATATCCTTAGAATGTTGGATACAGGTCAATAGTATTGATGTTTGTAGCTGCGTGATGGCAAGAATGGTGAGGAGTCGGGTGTGACAACCCCATTTTCATGGCCAAAAATACCGATTTGTTTATACTTTGTTTTGAAAATCAGAGTAACCTTTTAAAGAAATGTATTGCGGAATTTATTCCCAAAAGATAAATATGATAAATATTTATCAAAGCATTTCCGAAGAAATGTACGTCATTATATCAAAACCTTGGCATGTCATGTTCGATATAGATCAAAAGCATAAACAAAACAACATAGGCCTTACAACATTTATTTATATCTACTGGCCTATAATTTGTAATTCCTCATCAAATCATCCAACTATGCTCCTATGTTACTACGTATAATACAAGAAACTTAGTGGGTCAGGCTTGGGAGCCTGGTGAGCACATAGGGTTTTCAACCCACAATAAATAAGTTTATTAATTTCATCACACCCAACAAACCCGATTATCCTCACTTTACATCCCTAAAGCATCTAATATAAGGGACCTAGCCTATGGATTTTCATTGGGGTGGACACTACTGCAAAGGGGGTTCCTCATCAATAATTTTCCGTAAGGAAACCATGGGGCGGATGGAGTACACCGATGAACACATCATTCACAAACACCTACATGTTGCGAGTCTGCTAGCGTTCCACTGGATTGTGTAGAAGAGTCCATGGTTTTCATCTGTACTCAGCTAGATAACTGGAACATCCTCAACATCGAGGCCTCTCATCATTTTATTTCATTACACACCAACTATTACATCTATCCATGTTTTACCCAACATATTTGTAGATATAAAATAGATAT